TTCTATTTGACGATATATATATATATATTTGACGATATATATATATATATATATTGGGCAATTGGGTCTGCAAGGAAAATAAGCAACAGCGAGATGACAAATCCAGATTACACCATCACATAAAAAGCCAGATAGTCACACTGTGTCCAGAGAGCAGCATTGCACCAATAATACACCAATGGAGGTTCGTAGGACTGAAAACCAATGTCATGGAGAGCTTTCTCTCTCCTTCAGCAACACAAGAGTCCAGTCCCTTCACACTCCTACTTGGCGCTCAGCACCCAGCCTACTCCTACACAGCTACGATCAGCCTTATAATAGACAATGCAGCTGTTGACATCAGCGGCAACCCGAAGTACTTGAAGATGTCGCCCATACGCTGACCATCGCCAATACAAGGTAAGTGCCCTCACATCATCATCATCATCATCATCCTTCGCCCTTCCCTGACTTAACACCCACACCTGTCCTCTCTTGCACCCGAAGACCACCCCTGCGCCTCACTGTGTATCCAAGATGGCGCTGCCCTCAGCAGCGCCCTGGTCCCACACACGACCGCACGTGCGCAGCCTCTTGCTCCAATGCCGGCAGCCAGCCCGCGAGCAATCGCTCCAGCAGCGCTGCCGCCAGCCAGCAAGTGACCGAATGAGGCTGCCAGCGGAGAGCTCTTTCCTTTATGGAAAGAGCTGGCCTGCTTGCCCTGCCTGGCTGCCCTGGTCTGGGCCCAGAAGCTTCCGGAAGGCCCCAGGAGGCTGCCTGTGTACAGCAGCTACTGGGCTGCTGGTCCTCGTTCGGTTGGGCGCCCAACTGTCTCTGTATGAGGCTGCGATTCACGCCCAGGGCCTGCATCCTTTGGAAAAGCCCAGAGGGCCGTGGAAATGTCTTTGTGGCCCGGCCTGAGTTTCTCTCAACCAATTGGCGCGTCTCAACTGCCTGGACCCCAAATATGAAATTGACAGTAGGGGGCCTCTTGCGATATGTCAGGCCCACCTTCACTTAGGGCGGGCACCTCTGCCTTCACTTAGGGCGGGCAATGCTGCAAACAGGGCCCCTTAGGCCTACCGAGGACTTTGATCCTCGCAGGTCCTTTTCAGCTAGGTAAAAAGGACACTAGTGTCTTCCACTGCGGTCTCACCCTGTCCCTGTGGCCGGGAGGTTGGGTGATGGTCCTCGTATTGAAGCGCGGCTAAGCAAGTAGGGGGCATGTGCCAGGGAGAATAGTCATCAGCCTGAGGTCAGGAGGGAGGTCGCCTCCTTAATCACCAGTACTTGGCCCAGCTATCGGCCGGGGGAAAAGGATAGAGTGGAAACATTTCTAGTCGGATGAATTTGGGCGCTCCTGTAGCGGCCCGTACATTTCCTAAGATTGTGGCTTGCATACGACCACGGCTTCAGATAGTACTGGTGGTTTAAGGTGCGTTAATGCAGATGGCTGACTGCTGAAAGGTACCTGTGGTGGGTCCAGAACCTGACCTATACAACACCCAGGACATTTTTAGGGAAAAAAAAAAAAAAAAAAGGTAGGTTGCTAGGTACTACCTATAGATATGGACTGGGCAGGCTACTCGAGCCATGAAAAAAAAGTGGTGACCTCATCTTCATGGAGAAGATGGCACAATGCATCCATCAGGGACCATCGCTATTCATACTAGCAGACATATCTTGCCCACATGTCTGTGAAAATACGCTGTCCATTTGTTTTCTTGTATGATCATAGTGTGCTTACTTCTTAGTGTGGCAAGGCCCCTACCATCTTCCCCCGAACAAAACGCACCCTGAAAATGAACGTATGTAAGGCATGTTTCCAGCCCGATACAGTGAAAATGAGGGTGCGTTGTGTTCGGGGAAGATGGTAGTAGCAGCCTAGTAGCTACGGTGGAGCTACTCTCTTGCCTGTAGAGAAACTAAACGCCAGAAACAAATTTAATGAAAACTTCTTTTTTTTTTTTAATTTTAATTAAATTTAATTTAATTTGGTTTCCAACCCTGACTTGTGCTTATGATAAAGGTATTCACTTTGGTGGTAATTTGGGAATTTTGGGATCCTGACTGGGCACTTTTTTTTTCTTTTTTTTTTTTAAATACCATCCCATTCTAAACGACTAGTGGTGCCGACTACCTAGGTCCAGTGGATCATCGTTCTGGGTTTTTCCTTTTTTGAGGTCTTTTTCCTTTTTTGAGGTCTTTTTCCTTTTTTGAGGTCCTGGATCGTTTTTCTCGACATGGGATGTGACGAGTGTGGTGGTGGTGGTCCTGTCTCTGGGCTTGACAGGTGATGTCTCGCCTGCCCTTAAATTAAACAGGACCGCAATATTTTTGTGAGGGACGACAGGCCCAATTCCTGGCATTTATGGAAAAAAAGGCAATTTTGGTGGGGAAAAAAAGGTACCTGCTGATGCCAAAATTTATCTGGGGAAAAAAAAAAAAAAAATCTGGATTTTTTTTTTTTTTTGGATTTAGAAATATTCCGAAAAAGTCAAATTTGAAATTTCATGATTAACTCACATTGTCTCACAATCAAATCGCAATTGTCACGATATCACTTTCAGGAGGGGAAAAAAAAAAAAAACTTGTTGAGGGGATAAAAACAAAGAAGAAAAGAAAAGAAAAAAGAAGAGAAAAAAAAAGAAAAAAAGGAAAAAACTTAAAAAAAGAAGAAAAGAAAGAAAGAAAAGGGTGACAGCCTTGAGATATCATCACTGAACTGACGGGCCCCAGGTAATTCAGAATGATTTTATTTTCTCTGGTCATCTGATTGCCTTTGGATTCACACCAGGTCCTTTATCTGTATTTCAACTGCTCGTGGGTGTACCAAGTGAGCTAGGCCCATTGGTTCTTTATTTTCTCACGGTGTCGGGTCTTTCGCCTGACATGCGTTGTATTGTACTTCATGTTTATCTTTACGCAACTACCTGCGCTCGGTTCTTTACTTCTTCTCGTCTTCATCCTGTGTGGTGTGCTCCATGTATGCTGCATTTTTGTGTCTGAACAAAAAATCTGAGTTCGAACACTAGACTGATGTTTGCAACCATTGGTTGTTCAGGGGATTTTCTTTTGTGACTCAGAGGGCATGCCACCCAAATCCGCTGTAGGCATGTTGCCTCTTTTTTTTTTTTTTTTTTTTTTTTTTTTCACCACGATAAAACCTTTATCATCAGGCTCGACTGCCCGAGACTACGACGGAACAGCAGCAATGCAAGAAAGAAGAGGATCAACCGGGTTGTCCTGCCCCACTGAGAGCTCAGAACCCCGTCACTGTAAACAAAAGCTTTGCCTTTTAGAGTTATTATGCTTGGAGCAGACGCTGACAACTAAAAACTCTCTCTCTCTCTCTCTCTCTCTCTCTCTCTCTCTCTCTCTCTCTCTCTCTCTCTCTCT